TAGGTAATACCTCTAGTCGTGTATGAGCACCACCCCAATCCATACCCTGACACATATGCCTCTACCGCAAATGGCTTACTGAAGTCTGGAAGTGGTGATACTAGAACTCTGGTCATGACTCTCTTCAGTTGTTCGAAGGCCCGTGCTGCTGATTTGCTATTTGAAACTATTTTTCTTCAGTTGTTTCGTCAGTGACCATGCTATTGTGTCATGCACATGAATTTTCGGTAGCACCTGATGAGGCCTAAGAACCCTCTCAACTCCTTCAAGCTTCTTGGCAAGGTCAATCCAAAATAGCTTCGATCTTGGACTGCTACTATACATATCTCGGCCAGCACATGTCGTATGTACTCCACATGTGACCGTGCAAAGGAACTTTTTTTTTCAAGTTGGCGTACAGTTGGTGCTCACTCAACGTTTTCAATATTGTCCTTAGGTGTCCCATATGCCCTGTCTTTGTACGATTGAATTAGGATGTCATAAAAAAATATCAAGATGAACTTCTTGAGGTAAGACTTAAAAATTATATTTAGGAGAGATTGAAATGTGGCAGGAGCAATGGTAAAGACCAAACAACATCACCAAAAACTCTTAATGTTCTTCATAAGTTTTGAACGTTGTCTTCTGCATCAGCTTGATCATCCTGATTTGATGGTATCGCGATTTAGATCGATTTTCGAGAAGTTGTCTACCCCATAAAGTTCATCCAACAACTCACTAATTACTAGAAAATGAAACTTGTCCAATATAGTTTCCTTGTTCAAAGTCTTATAGTTCACACAAAATCTCCAGCTATCATCTTTTATCTTCACTAATAGAACTCAAATGGAAAAAGGGCTCACACTGGGCCTGAGAATTCCTGCTTTGAGCATTTTTCGAATCAACTTCTATATCTCATTCTTCTGAATCCGAGGATATCGTTATGGTCTGACCCTAATAGGAGGAAAACATTCCTTTAATGAAATGACATACTTGTGCTACTTCGATGGCGGTAGCCCGCTAGGCGGCTGAAAGATGTCGGAGAACTACTGTAGAAGTTGTTGACCACACATTGGGAACTCCACAGAATCTAGCGTCCGGGTTTCCTCTATACCATGCAGCTCCACCAAATAGCCCCACCTTGCTCCCCGTATTGTCTTGGCCGTGATTTTAAATGAGCCCATGGTTCTGCATAGGCTAGCATCTCCTTTCAACATCACCTTCCTCCCTATGCCTAAATCTTCATAGTCAAGGATTTCTAATTCACCTTCGTCTCCCAAATCTTTTGTAGCCGTATTATTTTCAGAATCACATAAGTGCTTCTGAAGTCCAACGGAAGGAAGTCATTCGCCACTTGTAGGTATTTTAGTGTCAACACTATTCTCCTTCCAATTCTCTGACTTATCTCAACCTTTCTAGGCCCCATCATGACCCAAACCTTCTAGTATCTACAAGCTTCAACCTCAGTTGGTCCACGACCCAATTTGAGATGAAATTGTGAGTGGCCTCAGCCTCACTATCCACCAACCCCCACCCCCCCCACCGATTGCTCCCTTATCTGTCCTCTAACATTCATTGGTGTCTACCACCGAGTTGAGGACACCTCTGCTACATCCATGTGCAAGTGCTTCTCTTTCTCCATCGTTTCTTCCTCTGACTCCTCACCATTTGCCTCCTCCCAATCACGAACTAAAAACTTGGAGTGTGTGCTCCTTCCATTTGTGGCTTGGGCCATATTTTTCATCACATTGGAAACATAATCCTCGTGCTCTCTTATCTTGGACCTCTGCCTTCATGAGGTGCTTAAAATTTATTGCGGGACAGGCCTCCACATTCCTCTCCCTCGGTGCTTCTTTTTGAAACGACACCATTTGGGTCCTCGACGTCATGGTCTTCGAGGTACTCTTATGGAGCATCCCATGGCATCAATTTTCTAAGCCTTCTTCATCTTTTTCTTGTCTTCCATCATCTGGGTGAGCTCCACTATCCCCCTCAATTCCCGTAATCTTAATGATCAAAGTGCTGCTTGTATGTCAGGTTTTAGGCTCTTCATGAAGATTCTTCCAATCTTGTTTCAAAAATTTCCCTCAATCACTCCGATAATAGCTTGAATCTCTTTCCATATTTCACGACAATTCCCTCCCATGTCAAAGCATATAATTGCTTGTGTAGGTCTCCTTTTCGAATGACTCAAAAATATTCCAGTTAGCAATTCTTTAATTTCTCTCATGAATGGATTAGGTATCTTGCCTCCCTCCACTAGGACCATTCAGGGCTTTCTCCTCCAAACTTAACCCTGCCGCCGTGAGCTTGTCCTTCCTATTTACCCTATTAACTGCGAAATATTGCTTCATCTGATACACCCATCCACAAGCATCTTCCCTTTTGAAGATTGACTTATTCAACTTTCTAACCCTAGCATCACCACCCCAATTTCCTCTTCCTCTGATGTTTCCCCCCATATATCTTGGGTCAAACTTCCTCCTTTGATCATATTATTTCCCCTTTCTGATTTCTCTTATTCCTTCCAAACCCTTTGCATAACCCCTCCACGTTTCGGCCCAAACTCCTGTCGAAAATCTTTAATCCCCCCCTCAGGGTTCTTGATGGTAGATGCTTTCCTCATATTCCTCTCATTTGATTTCTTTCCCTTTTGATTTTGCTAAGGATTCTCCAATTAAACATTGGTTGGCGTTTGCAAATGGAGATGACAACGGGATTTTGGATTGCATCTCGATAAGCCTCCTCAACATCTCCTCCATGCCCTTAAATCGGCCCTCAAATCGGTATTCGATGGAAAAAATCTTCCTTCTATGGTTGAGAACCTTTCCTCCATCCTAGATTTCAGTTGCCCTACTTCTTCCAATCTCCCATCCAAAGCAACTTTTATTTACTACCATCTCTCCGATCGTGCTGTGATACCAATTTGATACACACCGAAACCAAAATCAGCTAACAAATGCACTAAATAAGTGGGAAAATGCAAATTAGGACTAATTTTACTAATTTCCAAGCGAAACAACAAGATACAAGGTTGGTCTCAATAGAGATATATCGTCTCTCCACATACTTTAGATGTCGCCGGGAACAAGTCTCCAGAGGGAAAAATTGCAGGAGAACATAACACGAAACAAACCTTAGCTAATTAACACCAATAAATACTTCTCAACCCCCCACCAAACCCAAAACCTCCCTTTACTTTCCTCTCCTTGAGTACGTGATTAGTGACTTTGCTGGCTCACACAGGCGCTGGACTTCTTTCAGGAGGGAATTACTGTATCCTCAATATTATGTCAAACTTTATTTGTATCCTAATCTTATTTAGATTATTACCCAATATTTGGAAAAAAAAAAAACTTCTTGCATTTCCCTTGCACCAAAAAAAAAAAAAAGAAAAAAGAAAAAAAAAACGAGGGAAAGAATAACTTGAGGCCATACCAGGGAAAAAAGAGAATAAAATTCAATCTAGATTTCACAAATCTACTCTGACTCTCTGACTAAGCAATCAACCTTGTTTTACAATGCATCCGTTTTCTTATGCTCAATGGATTTGAATCTTCTTCTTCAAAGGTAGTAAGTCGTGTTTAGTGATTTGTACGGTATTACTTTTAATTGAAGTTCGTGGTGCTATTTCACGATCATATTGTCCTCTAGTCCATTGGAAGTGCCATCCATTGTTTAATGATCGATAACCAATGGAAAATTGTGTACTTCAGATGTATTAGCACTTTTAACTCTCCGAAGAACGGAGTATTTTGTAATGGTGGAATTGATATCTTCATACATTTTGATTTTTAATTATTCATAGGATTGAAATTATTCTATGCTTATAGATTTCATTATCTAATTAGTATTGTTATAGGAGTGTTGTGTTTGTTAGCAATTTGTAGTTTTTATTAGTTTGGTCTTTCTCATGTCTCTAAACTTGGGAATTCTAAATATTATATAACAATTTATGGCATGAATAATATTCTTGTTATGGATGTGGGGAATCTTCAATTATTTTGAGATTTTGATAATTAACGAATGTGAAATTTGAGTTTATCATAGAGAGGTCATTCAGATGCAGGTCTGATTGACTGACTGCTCCACGAAATGCAGTGTTTACTGGATGAATGATGTAGACACATGTAGTCTATAGAACTCTTTTATCATTATTTTCTTTTCTGTTAAGACTAAATTTGAATAAGAATTCCATTATTATTGTCTTAAAAATCTAAATATTAAATATTGTTTATGTTTTTTAAATGTATTAAGTTTGAGTTTGTTATACCTATTGTAAACTGTAAATGAAACTAAAAACTGATGAGATTGAATTCAAAACAAGTTTTATGGTTGGGGAGTTAAAGGATGATTTAACTATTGATTCCACGTCATTTAATTGGCTGTCTTACTTCCAGCTTTATTTTGCACATTTTATATTTTGTGTCAACAATTTTAATTTTGATTGTGAATTCAAACTTGACTTCGTAGCATGAGCAAAAGGAACAAAAGCTGTATCTTTTTTTCTGAAAGAGCAAATTTGAAAGTATTTTTCTTGATTCAATATAGGGTTGACTTAACATGCGTTTGTTTTTTTGTTTTTCTTTTTATTGATTTCTGGTTTTATGAGATAAACAAATTGTGTTAGGTTTGCTTTCATTGTGACCCAATAGGCATGGTCTGAATTTAACTATTATGCATTAGTGTTGCGTACATTAGTCCCTCCCTAAAGCTCAAATTGGTGGGGGCCTCATGCAACGGATACAAACTTTTCTAAGGATTATTTGAAGGTCATTATTCATTTAATTTTAATGATTAGATATTAAAAATGCTACAGATTTTTTTGGAACCAAACTTAAACCACTTAAAGATTTCTGATTTATTGACTTGTACTTCCTGAACCTGGTGTATTGTCAGTATAATTTAGAGTGTGTTATTGCAAAAATAACTCGTGTTAGGAACTAACTTTCAAGAGGATTTCCTTATATTTGTCTCCAGTCATTTTGTCAACTGCCTTGTTTATGTATATAGTAGTTATTCCTGCTTGCAGATATTTGTATTCTTTCCAAATGAACCAAAGTTGAATGTCAGTGTAACAAGAAGATATGCTGAACGGATGAGATCAGAGAAAATATTTAGAGGAATAATCGTTGTCCAAGAGGTTCCTACTCCCCATGCAAAACATGCAATTGAAGATCTATCTCAGAAATACTATCTTGAGGTTTTTTTGGTGAGTTTTTCTCTTCTCTTCTTACCCGAGTCCACTCTTTGAAAGCATCAACCATATTTTGAGTACTTATAATAAATTTCCGAACTGCTTGCAGGATGCAGAGTTGCTGGTCAATGTTAATAACCATATGCTTGTTCCAAAGCACGAGGTACTCAGCAATGAGGAAAAGAAGGAACTGCTGAAGCGTTACACTGTCAAAGAAACACAGGTATGTACTCTGGTGACATGGATGGAGCTTTGCAGATCGGTTGAGATTCTTTTCTCTCCCTGCTGCCTATGTTTAAGTGCACTAACTTATACGAACCTTGCTTACATTTCCATTTTAGTGCACACCATTGAAAATAATGTCAAGGCGCACGAGTTTTTACTAGATTTGGATTCAGTAAAATTTGGCTTGCTTTCTAATATAGCATACAATTGATTTTTTTCATATGATTTATGTTTCTTTATCTTGCATTGCCTGCTTATAAATAGATACTTGTGTTATATTATTAACTTTTCTGCTTGTTAGGGAACTCATCCTGTTCCTAATTAATATAACTTTCTACGAATGCCTAGCTCTCCTCTCAAACTTATTGGGAAGCGCTGGATTCTAACTATGAGTGGTTTGATGTTGATTTGCAGCTTCCAAAAATGATGTCGAATGACCCAATTGCAAAATATCTTGGGATTAGGCGAGGACAGGTTGTGAAGATCACCAGAAAGAGTGAGACCGCCGGCATATATATCACCTATAGAATTGTTATTTAATTCACATATTTC